AAAAGGGGGGGGGGGACTCAAATTCCTGGCTGAAGAGTTTATATTTTATTCTATGACATGTTGTCAGTCCAGCCCCTGCTGCTTCTCACTAGGGCACCCACTGGGCTTATGAGAGGTCACAGTACTCGGTCAGAACTAGAACTTGGAACCTCCTAACCGGAACTGGGTTTTGACCACCTCCCAGTGACCCGAGCTGATACAGACAAGTGGGGCCCCGTGTCTGTGCTTCCTGGAGGCGAGTTCACTTACCTCCACCTGCTGTGAAGGGTCCATGGTCTTCTTTTTCTGTTCTCCTTCCTCAACACAGTTCCACCTAGACATGCTCCCTGAGATATCTTGCACAAGAGCTAACCTAGCTCTCAGTTCAGGAGAAAAGCTGACTTGCTTGTCTATTGGAAGTGGTTGGACAGTCATGTTCATTTTAGGGATTTTCACTTTGGGAGCAACATTAGAGAGATCAGAGAACCTGTAATGGACTTGGTCATATTTGAACCTGTGGCCTGGTCCTGTTTTTTCTGTCTGCAGTTTTTGCACTTGGCAGCCTTTCCATTTATCACTTGGACTCTTGGTTTTAGTTAAAAAGCTGGAACTTTTGGGATGGCTGCTGTCTTTAGCAGCCGCTGGCTTTTCTAACTCAGAGGCGTTTCTTCCTGTCGCAGTTGGCGAACAGCTCGGCTCACTGACACCTTCATCATCCTTTTGGGGGCTGAGTGTGTCAGTGAGTTCCGAGGTTGGCTCTTTTAGCCACGATCTCTCAACATAATGCACAATAATATCTTTAACAATGGCTTCGTCAAGACAGTCAGTCCTAGGGGTCTCTGGGAGAGTTTCACAGTGAATGCCTCGGCCTTTTAAAAAGTCTTCTTTGGAAAGATGAGGCTGTAAAATATCAGAAAGGTTTGACTTTGAAAAGTTTCCTTTACTAGCTGGGATATGAAGATTTGGGGGGCATCTTTGCTCTTTATGATCATATTTTTTCTGGACAGCATTTTCAGTCATTTTATCCAAAGTCAGGGCCCTGTCTGCGTTTCTGCACGTCTCTTCACGTGTGGCCTTTTCTTGAGGGTCCTCTACCATTGAAATCATTTGACCTGACACATTCAGGATGTCATTTTCTGAGGAAAAATTGTAATCATCATATAGCTCAGTTTGGGAGAAACCTGCCTCGTAAGGGAAATCCTCCTGTTGCTTCAAGGCCGTAGCTTCTGAGAAATCGGCTCCATCCATGTGCACAGCTGGCCTTCACGCTCTGTGCCTGCCCTTGGTATTCTTAGTTGTGACAACAGACCTGGTTTTCATGCACTGTCCTCACTGTGTGTCCTGTTCTGTGCAGAAAGAGAAAAGCCTCATTGTTAAATATATTCGAATAAGTGTGGGAGTGGGCTTGTCCTGGAGCCTCTGCCGGAACAGAATGGATGCTTCTCATTGAGAGAAATTCAGTGATGATTCTGAAGGCAGGAAGCTCTGTGAGAGCTAAGCCACCCCAAATGCTGCATTAACATAATCAGTGGTCTATAAGCAAGGGGAAAGCGGACAGGGAGTTAAAATTTTTATTCATTAAATCAAGGCAGACATTGGTTCTCTGGTCAATGACCAAGTATTTATCAGTCTGTCTCACGAAACGCTATTTATTTGGAATTCATTCTCCCAAAATAGGAGCTTGGGATACAAGTAAAGGATTGATTTTTTTAAAGTCCAGTGGGGAACCAGGAGTGGAGAGACCAGGATTTGAGTTCTATCTTCTCCATTCATGAGCTATACACCATTGGGCAAGTTATTTAACTTTCCTGGGTCTTAGTCTCTTCTTCGTAAAAATCGGAATAATAATCCCTAGTTTACAGGATTGCTGGATGAACGTGAGATGATAATGCATATAAAGCTCTTAGAATAGTGTTTGGCACAGAGTGAGTGTTCAGTAAACAGCAGTTTAAAAATGAAAACCACCCTCAGCATTGGAATACTGAAGAATGCCCAGGTGCAGAAGGCTGGGTGCTCTCCATCCGTGGGGACACTTAAAGGACAAAGGAAGGAATGATCTCTACCAGAGCCTTGAAACTATTTTTAAAATCTATCTGTAAATGAATATAGTTTGATGGTGAAAACTGTCACTAAATAATTTTAAGTAAAACATGGTCTAAGACATCCAATGGCCAGCAGGCACAAAAAAAGATGCTCAACATCACTAATCACCACAGTGAGATATCACCTCACACCTGTGAGGACGGCTGACGTCAAGAACAGAAGAGATGACCAGTGTTGGCGAGGATGTGGAGAGAAGGAAACACTCGTGCACTGCGGGTTGTGAGCTGGTTCAGCTGCTATGGAAAACAGTATGGAAGTTCCTCAGAAAATTAAAAATGTATCTACCATGTAATCCAGCAATTCCACTTCTGGGTATATACTCAAAGAAAATGAACATAGGATCTCAGAGACGTCTGCACTCCCGTGTTTGTTCACATTTTTCACAGTAGCAAAGAGATGGCAAAAACCAAGTGCCTATCAATGGACAAATGAAAAAAGATGCGCTATAAATACAATGAAATATTACTAAGATCTGAGAGAAAGAGGGACATCCTGCCATTTGTGACTACGTGGATGGACCTTGAGCACATTATGCTAAGTGAAATGAGTCAGAGAAAGACAAGTACTGTCTCATATCACTACTGTGTGGAATCTAAAAAGCCAAACTCATAAAAACAAAGTGAAATGGTGGCTACCCCAGGGGTGGGGGTTGGGGGGGAGGGAGGGATAGGGCCTACAATCTTTAAGGGCACAAGCATACAAGTAGTTACCAGTTTAACTGCAATAGCCCTGGAGACAGAATGCACAGTATAGTATCAACAACAGAATTATATTCCAGCTTGCTAAGAGACTAGAACTTCATTATTCCACTCACCAAAACGAAATGACATTATGTGAGTTGACAGAGGTGCTAATTATGACTAGCATGACAATCATATCACAGTGTATATATCTGTCAAATTAAGTTCTACACCTTAAAATCACACCATGTTACATGCCAAATATATTTCAAGTGTTTCAGGACTGTTAGTGACGTAAGTTACAGCCTCAAACTCATCTCATGCTGTCTTCGTATCTTGAGGTGCTCACGGCAGAGCTCCAAGCCCTTCCATCCAAGGACGGAAAGACCCTTTGCTGGCCAGATCCTAGTTTCTAAAATATCATTCCATTTAAACTGATCATATTTAATTTTTGCTAGGATTCTTAAGAGAAAAAAGAGACACCAAGATAGACCAGAAGCCTGTATGTAACTCTCCCGTTACACATAGGAAAACAGCTTCTGTTACTATTATTATTGTTTTCTTTGTTTGTGTGCAAAATACCAAAAGGTTTTTTCTCTGATAAAGGAGAATCTGTTCTTAGCATCAAAATGGGCCCCTTACAGGCAGCTGGACGGAACTGGATCGTCTTCCCGTGAAGACACCGGCCTCCATCTTAGACTCCAAAGGTTCATTCAAAGAGCGTCCGCCGAGAACCCGGCAGAGCCCAGTTTGACTTGCTGAGCTCAGGGGAACGCATCTGGGGCGGTGACGGCTTAAGCAGCCAGACTGACCATTGTGTGCTCAGCAACGGCTCACAGACCCCCGAGCCTGAGCACTGAGCACTGAGCACAAAGGCCGGCTTCCCCCAGGGGCCCAGGCCGGCAAAACCCCGCAGGCTGGTCCCGGCCAGGAATGAGCCGCAGGGCACTCGCCATGCTGGCCGCTGTGGCCGGCCTGCTCTACTTTACCATGAAGTCTGAATGTGGTGCCGAGGTGCTGACTCGTGTGCCAGTTTAAGGGAAGAAGATAATGGTGGCCGGGGTGACTGGGAATCTGACCGAGTCAATTGAGAAGGTCTATGGACAGAAAACCCCCAAATCCTTAGTGCTCAGAGACCAAAGACGGTCAGTGAATCGTCGTCTCTGGCTGGTAAGTGGTGTCTGTTCTTGTCACTGAGCCCATTAGTGGAAATACAATCGTGTTACGTTGGAGAACCGCTCCCATCTACGAAGGAAAACCATGGGGCCTGTGACAGTCGCTTCATCCCATCCCCGGTACCCTCTGTTCTGTGTTCTGCTGGCCTCCAGACAGGCTGTATATGACCCAGAGATAGAGGAGACAGCAGGCACTGCACCTACCCACCCTTCCCTGCCTCCCTCCACCGAAGCACCAGCCACCTAACACTCTCAGATCCCGAACCCCACTCTTCTACCACCCACCCTACTGACTATAATGAAAATCGGAGTTGACTTTTGGGGGCATTGCTCCAACAATCCAGATTCTTCTTACTCCTTTATTCGTGTGTCATTAAGAGTGTGAACAGACTGCCGTTAGGAGCTTTAAGTATGTGACCCCGTGACATTTTATACCAAATGCAGCAACCTGCCACTCTAAGCCTTCAACCTGCACAGCCCGCAGTCAACACGAATTGGCAAAACAACGGCAGCAGCAACAGAAACTCACCTCTCTCGGGGTCTCTGAACATCATGGAGTGAACCGGTCAAAGGGCCTTGCAACACAGATGAGCAATCCTTTAACTCAAAACCATCTTTCTTTTTTCATAGTTGGAAGCCATCTACAACTGAACAGGAGAACACACACTAAGCTTCAGTACCGTGGTGGGGCTGTTCCGCGTTCCTTCAACTGCAAGATGTCAGCTGTGAAGGTTCCGTAGGGTACTGCTGATGTGACTTAAACATTTTGGGGGGAGTGTCTTTTAAAAGCATTCAAAAATACTCAGTTCAACTCTGTTTTAATTTTCAAATTCTCTCCCTCTGTTCCCAGCTCAAGATTTCTGTTTACCCATGAGAGCAAATAGGAGATGTCTCAGAGTAGTGTGCGTTAGGCCACACCTGGAGGTCAGGTGTTGGTGGATTTTGTATCCCGTGGATGGTGTTTCTAGATTAAAATATTTTCAAGAGTAACATGATACAGGCTCCCTGTGTGGTGACTGCATTCATTGACGCTCTGGTAATCCTATCAGCGAACTTTATCTCAGAAATACGGGGTGCCCACCAATGCAGCAGGGCCTGTGACTGTAACCAAATACCATTCAGTGTGTGGCTTCAGCCTCCTACTGTTGAGTGGCAGGAGGGAGACGCTGAGATGATGCAGCAGCTCGATCCAGTCCTCCCTGGAGAGCTGGGTGGATCTATTATTTATAGTCACCCTCAGCGATGTAGGCCTTCTGGGAGCATGCACAAGTTTGATGACCAGCTGTTACACATAATTTATCCCGAAACTATTTTAAAAGTCAGAACAGAAAAATCCTTTGAAACTCTGAGCAGGCCAGTATTCAGAGAAGCTGCTGCTTGGTGTTTTACCAGCAGCCTTCGCTTGTTTTCCTTGCCCTTTCGGGGTCAGCACTGTCTTTTTATCCAGTTTTCCCATCAACATAACCACATAGTCATCACAGATTGTCTCCTTTGTTCTATAAGCCATGGGCCTTTCCTGTGCTCTGGGGACATTTAGAAAACTCTTGCCAGTTGATTTTCTAAGACTAATTCTAATGACAAATTTTAAAACACTGATTTAAAGAATGTAAGTTTTAAAAAAGGACTTTGTCCCTTCCTTAACTTTTCTAGCTTAAGTTTGGCAACATCTGCAGAGATAAGAAGAGCCAGAATATTTTAGGAAAATTCTTTTTCTTTTACTTAAAGAGGTATCCTTTTCTCCCCTGCCTTTCACTCCCAGCCTAAAGGTCATGGATTCGATTCCCGGTCAAGGACACATACCTGGGTTTCGAGTTTGTTCCCCAGGCCAGTCAGTGTGTGTGTGGGAGGCAACCAATCAATGTGTCTCTCTCACATCAGTGTTTCTCTCTCTCTCCCCCTCATCCCCCCTCTTTTCTCCTTTCCACTCTCTCTAAAAAAAAATCAATGGAAAAAAATATCCTTGGGTGATAATTTTTATAAATAAAAATAAATATTAACTATTACATAAAACACATCTTTCAGTGCTTCAAAATCTTAGCTCTTTTGGTCATTCTGTCTGGTTTTATATAGAAGGATTTGAAATGTAAATTGTGCCCTTGTAGGAAAATAACAGCTCTCACTATTTCCCTAACCCCCCTTTTTTTGGTAAAAAACACAAAGCTCTTTAAATAGTAACAAAGTAGTCACCCTCACCACCACATGATTATACAGTAAACATTACCTAATCCAATGCGAAAATGCCAATTTTATGAGCCAGTATTAGCTGCTATATTAAAACACCGGAAGTGAC